TCAAAATAGTGCAGATGGTGAGCTATATCAGAGAATGATTTAAATGACGTTTGGGAATAACAAAGGCCAAGTTCCGGTAACTGTTAAAAGAGAGGTTGAGCTGATTGGGTGCCATTGGGCTGAAGTCAAGCCGACTGAAAAAGTTGATGATGACGAAGTGGAACCAGGTATCGATATCAAAGCAGAACAGGAGAAAGACCAAGATTTGAAGCCAATGATTGATTTCCTAAAAGCAAGTGTTTTGCGCCCTGCTTGGGAGAAGGTGTCTAGTCTAAGCCCCGTGACAAAGCACTACTGGGCACAATGGGAGCAGTTGAAGCTTGAAAATTGTATTCTTGTCCGGAGATGGGAAACTACAGATGGTAAAGTGACGACTTGGCAAACAGTTATACCGAGGAAGTTTCGGGAAGTTGTGCTGCGTCAATCCCATGATAGCTTAAGAGGAGGACATCTCGGAATTAGGAAGACATTGAGTCATCTACGACAAAGATTTTATTGGATAGGTATGAGGCGAGATGTGGAAGAATGGTGCCGAACATGCAGTACATGTAGTGCAAAAAGTGGACCCGAGCATAAAGGATGCCCATCTTATGAAGAGTTGCCTGAAAATGTGTCAGAGTTTGTGGAAGTGTTATCAGAAAGGCTGGACGATATTCACCATCAAGTGCGTTCAAACTTGAAAACGTCTACTGATTCGATGAAGTTAACTTATGATAAGAGATCTACTGAAAAGACTTCCCTTTGGTCTTCCTGGGATTATACATCCATACCTTGTCTCCGGGTTAAAAGCTGACCTAAGTTGTCTTCTCCATGGGAAGGCCCATATGACATAGTGGATCGTCTCTCAGACGTGACTTTCCGGATAAAATGTGGTCGGCGAGGTAAACCAAAAGTGGTGCATGCCAACAGGCTTTGGCATTATCATGGTCCAGGACATTTCAGTTACAAGAGCTTCACCGTTTCCCTTCTCAAAACTGAGTAGAGTTTCTTCTTCGACGGTGGCTTCTTCAGGTGGCACGTCTTCAGCAGCATCATTTGTTCTGTTTTCCACTTCGTCCCATGAAGTTACTACCACTGATGTGACTGTTACCGACGATAGGACATTTACTGATGAAGCAGATGAACCCCACATGAAGCAGAAGCCAACGAGATGGAGACCAGTACGGAAGAAGATACGTCCCGTAAAATTAAGAGACTTTATTGAATTGTAATTTTGTGATTGTAATTCTGTACATGTAATCAAGTTATTGTTAATTGTTATTGGTTTATTGTAAGTGGCTATTGTTCGGGAGGTCAGCGAGGTCACGTGACTCGTTCTCTCGAACCTTCGGGAAATGTCGGGAGATTACTAGATATAGAGAGGTCTGGTATATATAAGAGGGTGACAACGTGACGTGACAATGTGTGTGTAGATAGTGAGTAATTGAACTGCAGTCAGAAGTATTGTTGACGTTCGTTGATATAGCGTTTGTTACAGAGCGACTGTTGAAAATAAGTGTATCGTAAAGTTGTATTCGGAAAGAATAAACCAGTTCGGAACGAAGTTACGGAAAGTTAATTAACGAACGGAGACGTAACAGTACATAATTTTACTTCACCTAATTACTTTGACTACATTTAATATATTTGATTCTTTTTCCCTGAAGAAAAGTTATTAACTATTGATTATTGATCCAACTTTGAATTACTAAAAAGTGTTTTCTTGTTGATAGAAACTTAAAATTAGGTTACTGTTTTCAAAATCATTAATCTTATATTATTACCTTAAAGCTAGGTTAAGGCCTAAAATTCAATAGTATTTCAAATTATAATTCAAATGAAAAATGAAACAGACATCAAAGATTAGTGTAAAACACATAACTATTGGCATTTATGAAATAAAAAAGATAACACCTACTGTCTTATAACATAGCAGTTAACTGAGAAAGCACATACTCTTGACCTCTATAAAATAGCAAAGATAATACCTAGTACTCTATAATGTAGTAGTTAGCTCATAAAGCACATGCATACTCTAGATATCTATAAAATAGTAAAGATAATACCTAGTACTCTATAATCCGTAGTAGTTAGCTCATAAAGCACATGCATACTCTAGATATCTATAAAACAGCAAAGATAATACCTAGTACTTTATAACGTAGTATTTAACTCATAAAGCACATACATACATACTATAGATATTTATAAAATAACAAAGATAATACCTACTATTTTTTAACAACTGTGTTATAAAGCAGTAGGTATTACCTTTGTTGTTTATTGTTGTCAAGAGTATGCATGTGCTTTATGAGTTAATTGCTATGCTATAAAGCAGTAGTATAACTTCATGACATTTATAAAATAATAAAGATAATACCTACTGTTTTATAGTAGATAATAAATTATTCATGTTCCTACATAAATAAAACCCCTAAAAACAATTATATGAAACTCTTATTAATATGCTTATAAGTTAATTCAAATATACCAAGTGATTAGTCATTTATTTATATATTCTTGATTCATTAACAATAGAGAGAAAACAATTACCTCTAGCCTTAAAAAAGTAATCACAGGATTTGAACATGAACCACAGATGCTACATTACTGTGCAGTCTAACCCACTGGTATTATTTTACAACACTGACTTTGTATTTACATCTAGATTTAAATGTTTACTTAATGAGCCCAAATTATACAGTATAAGGACATTATTATTGCTTGCTCAAACTTTGTAACATTAAACTCCTACATTACATTTTACTTTAGAAACATAGTTGTAATTACCTTTTTAAAAAATATGTGTGTTCAGTTTGCCTCACTAGTCCTGTTCTCATCATTATTGTTTGGAAACACTGCCTTTCTATTGCCCACAATCTACAATCCATAACAGCTGAAATAAAAAGGAATTATTCATAAAAGTATATTCTTATACACACACACACACTAAAACAAAAATATATAGTTTTCACACACACAAAGTGTCACATGAATACAGATATAGTACTCTTTCAAAGCACAAATACCAGTCTAGGTTAAAATCAATGCAGCAGTTTGAAGATGGATAGAGTGAGTTTCCATCTCTAAGCATGTTTCTCTACACTTGTGTTGCAAACGTAATATTCTTCATCTTTACATTTTGGACAAACTCAATCCATTGTTTTCCTGATTATTATTACAATTATTCACTCTTTGAGCTCAAGTAACTAAACCAGAACATGCAAGTATCGTACTCACAAATCATTATAAGTTCTGTAGATCTACTTTTTGCTATATTTCAGATGGAGTCCTCAAAATAGTTGTTTGTCAACTCCAGCAGTTCAGTAGCATCTTCAATTATTAATCCATTATAGCTAATTTTAAAGTCACATTCACTAGGATCCTTAAATTGTAAAAAAGTTACTTCAATGTTGTTTCTCATATTTTGACTTAAGTCATTTAAACATGAGTAAAACTGTTGCCTTAGATACCAACACAGCAGCCAACTGTAATGAATTTTCAGCGAGGTACAGGTTAAGGTAGTATTGTCTTAAATTCTCAAGTATGTTTGTATAAGTAGCTTGAAGTTATGTGACAATGTTATATGTATAAATAGTATATAAAGTTGAAAAAAAAAGTAAAATGCACAAACAAGAAAAAAGCTTTGTAATAATTTCTTATTCTAGCCATATGAAAAGTGGACCCTAATTAGTCCAAATATTGAAAACTTGAATTGTTCATTATCCAAATGATTTTTCTTATAGACAAATCTTCACAAAGGGAAATTTAATAAATAATATGTATATTCATGTTCCAAATCCAAACAGTTATTTCTTACAATAAATATGCATTTCCTAGGATACATGATTCAGTAATCTATACATGACTCCATGAGAGTCAAATACGAGTCATTCATAAACAGGATACAAGATGGTAATTAATAACCACAAAACACCTGCACTAACTAGTGGGTAATGGCTTACAGCGATTTCCTGAGAACATCCTTCACAGTAGAAATGTAGGTATATATAAATTATAACCGATATCAATGGATCATCAGAGTGATTTATATTACAGTCATGTCAAGCCACAGTACTTCAAAGCAAAGATTTATAGAAATATCGGCAACATTAAAACATGATGTTTGTTTACAGAAGAAAGCTAATCCATGTGCAAGCCCTGATACCATCAGTAAATGTCCTTGACACTTTACAAATGGTAAGTGTTACAATAGAAACTATCAAAAACTACTTCAAGCATGTTAAGGTTTTGCAGCAGCCCAAACAGAGTGAAATTTTTGGGATGTCAGAAGCTGTTAATGAGATTGCTTCTGAAATTCATACCTTAATCTTAAGTAGCAATGATGCTATGTCAGCTGATCAATGGCTCATCATTGACTCAGCAGAAGCAACAGGTCAAAAGTTGTTACATGAAGACATCATGTCTCTTAAAATGCATGGTGACAGTGAATCTGACATTGAAAATGGTCCATCAGTTGAACCAGTGAGTCTGAATAAAACATGATCAAGCATTAAAAACATCTTCACATGGTTTGAACAAAACAGTGGTTCAGGTAAAGATGAACACATAATGTATTGTTTGCTAAAGGCTGCTGAGAAATAAAAAGAAATAATATTAAGTTCAAAATCAGACTGTGATTACACCCTTCTTTGGAAAGTGATCTGATTAATAATTGACTAATAATATATATTTTGTAATCTGTAGGTAAGTCATAAGGTTATACATGAAAATAATGAAATGGAACTTTGAGTATGCAATTTGTAAAGTTATTGACAATATACAGAATAATAAACTGATAAATTTATTGTACATAAAGTTGTTTTTTGTTTACCAGTTGCATTCTCTCCCTTTCTAGTTTGCATCCTTAAATTTATTGACTGAAAACTCATGTTATTAATGGCTGATTAATCTGTCCAGACGTCTTAATATTATGGACAAACTAGTTCATTACAAATATGTTTGGATTAGCAAAGTTTCACTGTATATATATATAACCACACTTTTAGAATAACAGTTATTGAACTGAAATATACAGCCAACTAGTTTAAAATTATTCACCTTTTCATTTGTGAAAATCTTTTTCATAAAAATAAATTATTATACTCATTGTTGTAAAAAGTACTTTAGGTCATACATATACAAATTTGGTGATATATCTAAAAGCTGAATAAATAACCACTCATTTTATTTTGAATGGTTATTTTTACATAACTTATTAGTACACTTGCTAATCAGCAATATACATTTTTTTGCTAAAGCCTCAAAAGTGCCAGTTCCTGAAACAATTTAACAACAACAAAAAACAACCAATTAACATTAAATATACTTGTACTTAATATATCTAACCTGATGATTTTAATCATATGACAGTAATTTTAGTTTTATTTTAACTAAATGATACATATAACCTGTCACAGCTACATTTTCAATTATTAATTCATAGCAGCATAAATTGTTTTAATACACAGCTGAAAGGTTGGATAGATTAATCAAGGACAGAAAAACAATCTGTTGTACTAAAAAATTACAGTCATGGGTACTCTAAGCTTTCAAGTACTAATTGTTCATATATTGTTACCTTTTACTGTTGCAGTTCGAGTACAGTTGTATAAGATAGCTAATTCTCCAAAAACTTGTCCTGGTTTTACAGAACAGAGAAACTTCCCTTCTTTTGTAACATCCACCTTTCCCTCTAAGAAGGTTAAAATTTGGAAACAAGAGATTATATATATATATATATTAAACATCGAACGATATTGAATTTCTTTTAAGTATATTTAACTCACAGGCTCTAGCTCTCTCTGCTTCTACACATGTATATTTAACAAAGTATATATAGGTACATAAAAAAATTGTTTGATACAGATGTGAACTATACTTTTTAAAACACTTGTCCAGGTAAGTAGTATGAATCTCTAGTTTTTAATACATTATCATGTTAATTGAAATTCAGTATTAGTTTATTTTTATTTGTGAATTTATATTTTCTTCACCAAAACATATAATTTCTGTGAAGAAGAATGAATCTGTCAATAACGTAGAGGCCCATTCTGTTCTTTTATTCTCTTCTCCCTCTTGTTATTCAATCACTTAAAGTATTTAGGTTATTACTGGTAAATAAAGTACTATACATCAAAGTTTGTAGATTATTACTGGTAAATAAAATACTATACATCAAAGGTTGTATGTTATTACTGGTGAATATAAGACAATACACCAAAGTTTGTAGGTTATTACTGGTAAATAAAGTACTACACATCAAAGGTTGTAGGTTATTACTGGTGAATATAAGACTATACACCAAAGTTTGTAGGTTATTACTGGTAAATAAAGTACTGTACATCAAAGGTTGTAGGTTATTACTGGTAAATAAAGTACTATACATCAAAGGTTGTAGGTTATTACTGGTGAATAAAGGACTATACACCAAAGTTTGTAGGTTATTACTGGTGAATAAAAGACTATACACCAAAGTTTGTAGGTTATTACTGGTGAATAAAGGACTATACATCAAAGTTTGTATATTATTATTGGTGAATAAAAGACTATACATCAAAGTTTGTAGATTATTACTGGTGAATAAAGGACTATACATCAAAGTTTGTAGATTATTACTGGTGAATAAAGTATTATATATCAAAGTTTGTAGATTATTACTGGTGAATAAAAGACTATACGTCAAAATTTGTACATTATTAGTAGTGATTAAAGGTCTACAAAAAGGTTTGCTTTTTTTTTTGTTAAAACTGTTTATTTCTTCACATCATTACATGGTAAGTAAAGTGAAAAATAATATTCTGAGTTTCAGATTTCTAAAAAATGTAGGATCATGCATTTTTTCATCACCTTTGGGACTGAAATACACACCCCCTTGTGTATGTTGTTTTTATTTTATTTTTGTATTTTTATAAGTCTATTAATTGTGCTACAATAATTGTAGATTTTAATATTTAACCACTAACAATAGGAAATACCTTAACAATTAATGGTTCTAACCTTCCATAACAAACATAACAGATCCCACTTCTGCTTCCTTAATGATGAAACTGTCTTGGGCATACTCAACAGGATACATACAGTCTGTAATCTCTTGAATTTGTACTGGTTCCAAGTTTTTCATGAAGTCATTATCCAAAATAGCTTGTTTGATCATTTCCTTAGACCTAATTGAAAATCACATGAGTAAATATAGTCAGTACTGCATAGCAACTAAATGAATAATATATAAATACAATATGTCTATAAGAAATATTTATGTACAAGCTGTGCAACCATAAAAAAGTTTCTTATGACTAAATGAATAGTTAGTACATATGGTAATCACAGAACTTTGACCTTCCCCATATTTCTCACACAGAGTATCAGTGCATGTAATGTATAACAAGTTACTAGCAGTCAATCATCTCCTTGTGGCTATGTCTTATATAAGGATAACCTAGTTTTATAAGGTCTATGTTTATTCAAGAGGACATCAATTTAAACTTTCACAACATATGCCAGCACATAAAGTTTCAGTGATGGCAATCAAGCTTCTCAGATCTCTCTCTATTTCACATTTCAGCATTAATGCCTCTGCAAGCAAGGTGGAAGTTTAGTGTGTGTGTGAGTAACTGAATATAAAATGTAGTTGTATCCTCCCAAAGAGTCAGTTGCTAGAAATATGTGGTCCTGTACTAACCCACTTCTATTAAGTGATCAGATATGAATGAATATGTGACAGTTAGATTTATTGTTAACTTCTAATACAGAAATGGTTGACAGGATGGAGATTGGAGAACATCTTGGTGCAAGTGGTCATTGTTCAATTAGATTTGATATTTTGTTGCATACAGAGATGAGGAATAATGAGATTTTGGTTCCATATTTGAAAAATACGAATTTTGAATGGATGAGAGAAAAATTATCTGCTGTGAATTGGGCAACTGAATTAATAGAGATACTGATCAAATGTGAAAAAAAAATTAAAGAGATTCTTAAATACTCAAGATTGGCATGTTCCTTATGGAAAATAAATAGTGACTGCAAGTAAAACATGAGGTTGGCTCACAAAGGTTATAAAGGAAAACTAATGAAGAGTTAAGCAATATTCTCCATCCTCAACAGATTTAACAAGATGATCACATTAATTCTGAGCTTGTTAAGAAAAATTGGAAAGTTTGAAGAATGCTAAAACTCCTGGGCCAGATAATATTTGCCAGGTTTTATATATGGGCCGGATTTTTTGCAGTAGGTGTCTGTGACTTGTTGGCGATAAATTTCAACAATAAAAAAAACAGCACACAGTTCACTTGTGTTAAAATAATATATTAACACAAGTCAAATTTATTTACAAATGTTCGTTACACTCTTGTTTATCACAGCTGTATCCAGAGCTTTAAATAATTGTCTATTTTTTCCTCAAAGTCCACACAAACTGGTTCAGTTACTTTAGAACACAATTTGATAAGACGAATTATTCTTCTCTACTCTGTTATTGCAATACAGTCTGTGATAATTACACTTTAGAAATTGACACTATATGCTGTTTATGGCTGAACTCACAATCATGCAGAATAGATCTATATATTTATATATCTAACAAACTAACTTGCTCAAACTAAATTTTGGATGTGTATTTATAGCAGCCGTCAGAGGCCTAGTACTTTCCATGCACTGCAAAATATTATGATGCAATAAGAGGCATAACCAAGGGAGGACCCTAATATACAAAAATTGAACTACACACAGTATGATTCGCACAGTTATGTGAACAAACCTGCAATAAACTATTGCTTCTAAGATAAATAAATTTAACACTCGTGTTATACTTAAACTAACTAAATCATAACACTCGCATTAAGTTAAACAGTCATGTATATCTAACAATATTTACTCAAGGGTTTTGAAGGAGGCTAAGGATTGGACATGTGAGCCCCTTGCTATTACTTTTTCTATATCCTTGAATAGTGAGTATGTGCCAGAAGATTGAAAGTTGTGTTACTACAGCAGAAGTCACGCGACTCTGTGAGCATGCACACTGGAGTTTCTAAAAATATCCTGATTTATCGAGAAACCCCACGAATGTCTGAGTGTTTGTCAGGCGCCCTCTTTTTTAGTATATAAGCCCGGCAAATAAAACCAGCGATAGAGAGATATGCAGATAGATTGAAGAGATAGATAATTGAGTCAAGTGAACAGTAGGTACCGTAAGTAAAGTATGTGAATCACTGTGA